CGCTACGAGAGGACACTTCGGTACCATGAGGTGCCTCTCTATCTCCGGCGGGTGTTGGACGCGTACCTCCGCGACAGGACAGGTCGTGTGGACGGGGCAGATGGGGTGGTCGGTCGGCGACGTGTCGACTGCGGGGTTCCACAAAGGGGCCGTTTTGGGCCCGGTACTGTGGAACCTCGGGTATGACTGGCTCCTGCGTTGTCCGCTTCTCCCCGGGCTCGGTGTCATCGCTTATGCTGATGACACCCTCGTCACAGCCCGGGGTCGCTCCTACGAAGAAGCGGCACGCTTGGCCACAGTCGGCACCAACCTAGTCGTCGACCGTATAGGGATGCTGGGCCTGAGGGTCTCCGTCTCCAAAACGGAGGGCCCTCCTTTTCCATGGCCCACGCAGGGGTGCCCCCCGCAACGCCTGTCTGCGGGTCCAGGGTAGGATGGTGGAGGTGCGGGCCCAGATGAAATATCTGGGCCTGACCCTGCGACGGACGCTGGACGTTCCGTGTCCATTTCGCCAAGGCTCACCCCGAGACTGATCGGCGCCGCCTCGGCCCTCGGCAGACTCCTGCCGAACGTCGGGGGCCCTGGATCTCCCTGCCGGCGGCTCTATGCCGGCATCGTGAGGTCCATGGCCACTGTACGGTGCCCCCGTTTGGATGGACGCCCTCTCCGCACCGAACAGGGCCCAACTGCGCAAAGCGCAAACGGGTCCTGGCGGTGAGGGCGATGCGGGGATACCGTACGGTTGTCCTTCACGGCGGCGACACTTCTGGCGGGCGATCCGCCCTGGGAAACTCCAGGCGGAGGTGCTCGCCGAAGTCTATCGGTTTCGGGCGACGTGAGCGGGCTCGAGGGGAACGTCCAGCGCGGGAGGGAGTCGCTCGGATCAAGGCGCCTAGCTGACGAGGCACTGATCCGGCGCTGGTGGGAAGGACCTGGGGACTCCAGCGGCTGGCCTCGGCGACGGTGGGGGGCGGTTCGGCCGTTCCTGTCTCGCTGGGTCAGGCGGCCACACGGCGTTCCTGACGTTCAGGTTGACGCAGATGCTTACCGGGCACGGGTGCTTTGGTAAGTATCTGTGTCAAGTTGCGTGTCGGGGAACCGTTGCCCGTATGCCACGAGTGTGGTTGCGTCCGAGGGACACCTCGCACCACACCCTCGCGGTATGCGCCGCTTGGACTCCCCCAGCGCCATGCCCTGATGGCGGTTAGTGGGTGGAGACCTCTCGTTGCGAAGCGTGGTGGGGGCCATGCTACGCGATGAGAGGTCCTGGTCGGCGATGGTCTCCTTCAGTGAGGCCGTCATCTCACTGAAGGAGACGGCGGAGAGGGAACGCGAGGCTAACGCCTTAGCAGACCCTCTTCGTCGCCGTCGGCTGGGGTGAGAGGAGGCGTCGGTACGCGCATCTTCTCCCGCCACCCTAGAGGAGCTACTGCGGGGGGGTCTCTCGTTGACTCCCCTGCACGTCATCGGGGCGGTCGGGATGCCCTGTGAACCGAGGGCATTCCTGTTTAGGCGAGGCAGGCCCGCGGGGTACGGGCCGTCCGCAGGGGTGTTGTAGTGAATGCGCAAGCGATCCTACACACCCCATTGCACTGCGGCGACGGGTTCCGCTGTGGGTTTTAGTGAGTAGGAGTCTCACAGTACCCTACCCATTGACGGCCGGTAGGGTCCCCATGATGGGTTTCCCCAGCGATAACAAAAAAAAAAAAAAAAAAAAAAAAAAAAAAAAAAAAAAAAAAAAAAAAAAAAAAAAAAAAAAAAAAAAAAAAAAAAAAAAGGTTAGGTTAGGTTAGGTTAGGTTAGGTTAGGTTAGGTTAGGTATTGTTAGGTTTAGGTTTAGGGTTCTTGCAGGGTTAGGTTACATCAGGGCCCAGTTGCTGCGAAACTGGCTACTGGGCGCGTCCCCCGGCAGTGGCGCAGGATACGGGGCAAAGTGCTTTCACCACTATTGGTACAATGGATACCGGTCTTGACCGGCGGCTCGACCAAAAATACCACACGTAGGGCATGGGCGTGCCCTTTCTAGGGGCTTTGGTGTAACCACCCACTGGTCCTAACCCGCACATTCGCATGGGAGGCACCACACCTGGACATTGAAATAAGCGCGGAGGTGGTGCCCAGCAGCTCGAGGCACTACCCGGCGCGGTGCACCGCCTCATCAAGGCTTAACTCGCGCTTAGCCACTGCTAGCCTACTCTGTGCAACGCCTCCCACCTGACTCCGCAAAGAATCGTTTGATCCCGGGAATCCGGTGTTTCCGTTTTGAGACCATGTCTATGCGCGCCCCCGCTTGTTTGTTTCGTTTCGTGAAACTGGCGACCGGGATAGCCTCGGCTATAACCGCCCGGGCTGACGAGGAAGAAGGAACCTAACCTCATAAAAAATGCACCCCAAGCCCATAAGGCAAAAACCTAAATCAACGTGGCGGGTAAGCAAGCTGCACACGAGGGGATGCGTGGACCGGTCATGGGTAAGGATCAGGTGTTCGGCCTACTGCTACCCCCGCAAGAGTTACCGGCGCGCCCGAAAACTCTACTAGCGGGGTTATCGTTTTGGCTTTATCCGCAGACAGGGGGGCACTAGTGCGGATGGGACCCACCCGCTCTCCCCCATACCTCGTGGGACTTAATATGCATGAATTTCCAAAATTGAAACAAAACCCCAAGACGTTGTTTTGGCCTGTGACGGGCGGAGATAGACAGTTATGGGGCCTGTTGATGCTGGCGGAGAGGATGGTTGCGCCACGGTGGAACTGGCGTAATCGGTCGGATGGAGTAGAAGTCAGTGTGTCGCGTGTGGCGACAGTTTGGTAAAGCAGAGGATGGTTGCGCGCAAAAAACAGCCGCAAAGTCGTGGTTGACCCGCCCTGAGTGGATCTTGGGGGTAGAGCGCGATGTCGAGGCGGAAACCTCTTTCATCTGGGAGGGGGACGACTCTGGGCGTCTGGGAGAGAGTCTGACGGAGACAGCTCTGTCTCGATGTAGCTTCGAGTAGGGGAGTTTAGGGCGATTTTTTTTTCCCAAACAATTTTTTTTGAAGGACCCCCGGAAGAGGCGTAGGAAAAGTTCAGGGTAGTCACAGTCTGGGTCGTCATCTGACGATGAAAGGAGACCCAAAGTCAAAGTGCTGTACCCCCAAAAAGGGCGGAGGACGTGCCATCTACCACTGTGGCGGAATATGTCCGGTTTTGGCTGTATGGCGTAAAAGAAGGGCACCTAAATGAGGTGACGAAGAAGGAAGTAGCTTAGGCTGAGGGCCGAGGAGGAGGTGGCTGATTTTAGCGGACTAACTATCACCCACACCGTGCGCAACACCGGACTAGACTCACGCCAGTCATTGGCGCGTCATCGGTGCCATTTCGACACGGATCATGCGAGGAGCCTGCAGGCGGTCACTAGCTTTGGAATCTGCAAAGGAAGGGTGAAAGATTAGCCTCGACGCGTGATAGTAGAATGTTGGGTTGTTGGCTAGTAGAAAAGTCGGGAATACCTAAAAGGAGGTATTCATTTAAGGCCACCTGAAGGATGGGCGTCACGAAACTGATAGCCACGGCCCCCGACGTGGACAACATCCGCAGGAGGAGGACCTGCACGTCGGTATGAGGTGGCCCATCTAGAGGGCCAGCCAATGCTCGCCTGCAATTCCGAAAATAGAGGAGATGCGCTAAGGGAGGTTGTGGCGCTACAGGGGCCGCAAAGTGGGGGTCATTCTCACAAGGCTGAAGTGCGTATCTCCATCAATCCCGGGTGCAGGCCCCAGTGTAGGAATTTCCCCCGCCCACACAAACATCCGGCGGGCGTGGACGAGCTGGCCCCCGAAACGATCATGGTCCAGGTGGGGACCATGAATCAAATGCGCGGTTGTGAGGCGCTGGAGGGCAACGGCTCTTACCAGAAACAGCGGTGCGTTCGACCTCCTCTGGGCGTCTCGACTAGGGTGAAGGAAAAGCTGTCGGTTCAAAAGGCTGCAAGACTAGAGGACACAAGGATGACGACCCTCATTGGCCCCCGCCAATCCGGACGCCAGGGCCAACAACAGAAGAAACCCACAAACCGGCGTTAAAAACAAAAAAGGTTGTAGGCCCAGCCTACAAAGCCTAACCCGGTGGACCGCACAGCCACAAGGGGATGAGCCGGTTTCCGTGATTACATTTCAACCCCTTCCATTACGGGAAGGGCTGGAAATGTGGGTGGTTATAGACGAATTGGGGCGAAAAAGACAGCGGCGGCGGACGAAAACAGGCCACCGAAAGCAGCCGCTCAAACCTGAAGAATGTGAAGAGAGACTGGAAAAACTTCGGCCGCCTCGCCTCGTGTGCACAAGCTAGTCGTCATCAAGCTTCAAGCCTGCAGCGGGTCGAGAGGAATATAAACCGATCAGGAGGTGCTTTGCCCAGGTCAAAAACAAAAAAACTTGATCCTAAAACCGACCTGGGCAATAAAAGACGTCAGTGTTCAAGGTGGCCGCTCACTTGGGCAAGAATGCTGGAGATTCCAGGTGCCAGCAGTGCGGGAAAAGGCTGACGCCCTAGCCCAAGCGATAAGGGGGAGTACTGGACGGGGGACGATGTCAAAGGTCTCCAGACCGACCAAAATGCGCCCGATTGTAAGGGGTAACTTGGCCTCACGGATGGGGCGGACTCTCGGGTGTCCAAGGTGGAATTGGCGTGGAGGCCATCAGCACGGAAATGGGGTGGACTGTAACTGCTGACGCCAGTAAGAAGTGGGAGAAAGTGTCATGGCGGGTGGAATTCGGGTTCTCGGTGATCGGCGTGGGTTCAGTCTGCCCTAATGCATAGCGGCCCAGAAAGATTGTGGACTGGGTGGTCGCCTTCTCGTGGCGGGTTTGTGTCAAGCACAGGTCAAGCTGCTGACAGAGCCAGGACCCCCCAGCCGTTGTTAGTTTCCAGGTGCACACACGACATGTGGGGCGGCGACAGGCGCGGTACTAAATGCACTTGTGATTGATGTGGATCGGAGGCCAGCCATGTGCTGTTCCAGATGAGCGGAAAAAAACACGTGCCACAAGCACACGCGACCAATGCTACGGGCTGCGCACCGTACATTGCCCGGCGGTCATGCCGAGGGTTTAAAGGAAGGCCAGATAAACACCATATCTCGTCGGTAGCGTTAGCCTGCACCCGATGGACCCAGACTCGGATGAAGAAGACGGCCAACAATCAACTGTGGCTAGTGCGCCCAGAGCCGCCGATGGAGACTAGATCATCGATGGAACAAACAGATATAGCGATGGGCCCTTTAAATAAAGAGGCTTACTCAACGCAGTGATCAAGAAACACTTAAACTCATACTTGTGCCAGAGCCCCCAGGACTTGTTTGTTCAGAGCCTTGGGCTTGCAGTGGTTGCCGTTATACAAAAGTATTGTGCGGACACAGGTCGTCCGCTTGGCACGGAAGACCGTGATTGGGTTCCCACCACGCGTAGACAACATATGGGCAGGGTGACAGCGAACGGATTGTAGGGTTGGCCCATTGGTTCTCCCAGGATCGCCCGCTGGGCTCCTCCACCCTTTACTCGTTGTCGTTGAGCGGCTGTATTAGGGTGCTTTGCGTATGCACGGACATCAGCGTGGTTGGGACATCGAAGAGCGGTTTAGTAAGATACCGGGGTGGTCTATACTTATCTCCTCCCAACCGATCCGCAGTCGAGCAGAGTTATGCGAGGAGTTCCTGTGATGAGGTTGATCGGAGGCTTCTCTCCGGGACCCCGTCCAAAGGCCCAGCAAAAACTATGGTTCATCTGCGGGGGGACCTACAATGCGGGAAGTACCAGTATGTGGGGCTCATTGGACAACTGACGCTCGGGCGCAGGCTGGCTGGGTAAAAGAGAACACCAATTGTGGGGTTGTGGGTTACGCCACATAGTATTAGTACGGCTCCTCACAAACCCCGGATGGGACGGCAAACACGTGCTGTGCGGACAAGGCCAGGGGCGGGTGGTCCATTTGTGGATGTCAACAGTTCGCAAGGCCCGGCCCTTCAGCGACGCCGTGTCCCAGGGCTCGGCGAGGTTTGGTTGGATGATGTGGGAGACTTCTCTCGGACCACTTGTACATATCTGCCTTTGAGAATCTCCACACATCCGGACGGTGCCCGACGGGTGCAAGGTACCCTAGTCGGGCACTCGGCGAATTGAGGACGGCCCCTGATGGGTTGGTAGGCACAATTGAAGCTAGCTCAATAGGGAGAGCATGTTGAAAAGAAGCGAGGCAATGTAGTGGCCTCATGGCCTCGCCCATAACACCGGGGGAATCGAGGACTTCTGTGGAGAGGTTGACAGAGCTTGATAAACACGAGCCTTGCGATCGTGTCATATGCCATCGACACTCACACAGGAGCGCTGCCACACACCGAGTCTAAGGCTGCCACAAGTGTGTGTACTGGTGGTCAGGCCCCCGGCACGATTTTGCGGCAGTCTGCCGTGCAGAGTGTGTGTGGAACTGCCAGAACGCCAAGTACCACGCGCGATGTCTTTAGGAAGGATGGCAACGCATTTAGGAGCCGTACAAAATGCCGCTGTGGACAGGGAGAGCTATCGCAAATAGAGGAGGAAAGAGGAAAGGACACCTTGTACCTCCATACTAATATAACGCTGCAACAAAAAACCAGGGGCCCGTACAGGTTGGCGATAGATGAGTGTCGCACAGACCACTGCCAGGGAACGCGGATGCTGGATTGAGAAGGCTTAAGTCGCACGAATCCTCTGTGGGTTGACCGCCCTACTATAGTGATGGTGCGGAAAGCACCCAGACTCCGATAACCTCCGCTGGGGACACACGCGACCCCCACTTACCCTCAGTCTCTCCAGCCCAGCGTAAGTCCCAGTAGAAGTAGGGTCGCCGGCTCACACTGTTCCACAACACACGGTGCACGCAGCGGCACCAACAAACAAGCCGCCAAAACCGTATGAATCCCACACTCGCAGGTAGTATAGGGGACGAAAAATAATGATGTGCCAGAAGTAGGGCTGAAGAGGAGTTGGCGAATGAGCCGTTAGATCGCCTCTCGGGCATTACGAAGTTGTCGCTCCCTGGCCCTGATTGGTTGTCTTCCAGGGAAAGTGTGGGTTCTGGCCATGGAGTCTTTGGAGCAAAGAGTTCGAAGGTACTATGTTACTGTCCTGTCTGGCTTTTTTTTTGTTACTTTTTTACAGTGCTCATAATTCCACAGCGGTGGAAGACAGGCAGACTAGTGTCCTCAGACCTCCAAAAAGGTAGGGGCGGCCCGGCGGATATCTCCGTCTGCGTTATCGAGCTCCCATCGTCCTCCTAGGACGAAGTGTGCCATAAACTCTTTTGAGCGTGGTTGGTGGCCGGGCGTCTAGTGGTGCCGCACTTAGAGCATGGTGGGGCCCAACCTCTCCGACGTCCAGCTTTGGCTGTTCGCGGATTGACCGTTCCACCGTGGATGCCATTTCTTGCGGCGTCCGGTCCCAGGCGCAGTGAAGCATGTCTCACAGGGGCGAGACGAAGGTCGTCATCGCACCCCCCCCCCCCCCCGGTGTCACTTCGAAGACATCGCGAACCGCGTTTTAAACGCGTGACCCTGGAGCTGCATAAGGGAGGCGCTCCCGTGATCATGGGGTTGCCGGGGGACCTACCTCCGTCGCGTCTTGGATGGTCCTAACCTGTCGGAGGAGGTGTGGTTGACGTTCCCAGGATGCAGGACGGTTTTGAGGAGAGATGTCGAGAGGTGGTTGTGCGGTGTTCCACAGGGGTTCCTGGTGCTGCTGGACCCACTTACTGTGGAATATTGGATTACAGTGATGTGGGTCCTGTAGGACAATCAGGGCGCCACAAGTCTGCGCAGGTGTCGGCAGGGGTCACCTGCTATGCCGACGATACGCTGGTGATCGGCGAGCCAATCGACCTAAAATGGTGTAGTACGGCGATATTGGCAACAGCACAAACTGGGGGTGGCTGCAAGTTGTGGGGAGAATACACACGGCAGGTTCGTGAAGACAGTCTCTCAAGTGGCCCCTAGAGAAGTTCACAGAGGCCGTGTGCTTTACACGGTCCTTCGGAAGGGACACGCCGCCTTCGGAATGCGCCATCATCGTTGTGAGCGGGGGTCCGCATTCACACGGCAGTAAAGGATGCACGATGGAAATCTATCTAGGGCTTGTGCCTCGATAGCCACGGTGGGACTTCCGGGCGCACTTTCATGCGCTCTAGATGCCACGATTGGACTGTGAAGGAGCTCGGCACGGCCGCCTATTGATAGGTTCTCCACTGCCTAACATAGTGTGATATAGACTCCGCGAGCGATCACAACTCGGGAAGCTCTACGCAGGGGTGTCGTTCAGCACTCAGGATGGCGATGGTACGGATGCCCACTAGTCGGGGCGCGTGACAGGCACTGTCTAACGCACGACAAACATACGCCCTGCTTGAGGAGGGGTGCATGAGGGTAGGATGGCGACTCAGGAAGCCATAAGGGGGGTTACCGTACGAATGTGTCTCGGTGGAGGCACGGACCTGTGGCGTTGCGTGGACCGGCCTATTGCCTTGGGACCCTGGTATGCGCGGTTCCTTGGCGGTCGATTTATATGTCGGTCGTCGAGAGCCTAAGCATGTCGGGGGACCCCAGACCACAGCGCCAATCGATGCAGGAGGACGAGCGGGTTGCCGCGCCGTATACAAGTGTGGGAGGTCCAGGCTGGAGCGCCCTTGCGCTGGCCGACGGACCGCGTCTTGAGGCAGAGGTTCGCCCCATTCTCGCGCACAGTGGTTGGGGCAATGCGGCCACACGTAGCCACAGACATTCGCGTCTTAACCTTCCGCGCCACAGCAGGTCACTCTCGGGGCATGGTTGCATATCGGGGTTCTTTTTTATCTTGGTACCTGTGTCGAGTCGTTCGCCGGGAAGGGTAGCTACCTCTCCTCGCTGAGTCCACCACTGCGACCGACTGCCACCTGGAACGAGTCGGCCCAGCTATACTGCTTGGAGGTTGTTTTGTGCCACGGCCTGGGAGACGGAGCGCTGGAGGGCGCTCCAGATGTGTTTTGTCTGGGGCGGGTGACCTGACGTTGCCGGCCTTTATGTTGATTTCAGCCCCATGGCCCGGTTAGCGAAAGCCGTCCTGGGATGCCGTTCTCTGTCCTTCTGCGAGGGTGGTGCATGTCCAGCAGAAGGAGGCGGCGGAGAGGGCGAGGAAGAGGTTCCAACGCCGAGCTCGCCATCCGACCGCAGAAGGGACCGGCGGCCGTCGGAGAGCGGCGACCCGATCGCCGTCTCCCCCCTTAACACCAGCCAGAGGGGGGTAGGTCGGCTTGGGGATAGTCTGGCCGCCCAATATATCCTGGACCGAGTAGGCGTGCGTCACGGAGACGTCCGCGCCGCCTCTTCGAAGAAGGCCATCGGGGGTTAGCCCCCCTGATATGGGTATGGCGGCCGTAAGAGGCTCTCGCCGCCTGCGGGTCTACAGAGGATATACGAGATACCTGTGACCACCAGCTTGTGTGGCGAACAAAGGTGGCCTTTCGTCAGGTTGTTTATGTAGTGGGTAGGCTGCCGCGCGTTTACCATCTTTGCGCGGCAGGAGCCCCACATAAACCCGTTCCGCCCTATCCCCAGGCGGACGGTGTACCCGGGGAACAGGGTTTGTACACTGACTGTTCATAATAAAAAAAAAAAAAAAAAAAAAAAAAAAAAAGGTTAGGTTCTCCAGGGCAGTGTGCATGGACTGCTATTTCTGGGCGCGAGTCCCCCGGTGGTGGGCGGATAGGGGAATGCCACCATATTGGTTTTTTGGTACCGGTCTTGACCGGCGCGGACCAAAAAACCAGTAAGGTCATGGGCGTGCCTTTAGGGGTTTGTTAACCCCACGGCCTAAGGGAGGACACCCTGACAGAAAAGCGTCGGACTGGTGGGACGCAGAGCCCGGCGGGCGTGTTTAATTCTGCGCAGCCCGGCTATGCACTGTGTGCAAAGCCCCTTCCCACATCCGTCAATCCCGGGACCCGAGGTCGTTTGCCATGTCCCAGAGGCCGGTAACTGGGACCGATAGCCTCGGCTTAACCGTGATGGGATTGCGAGGAAGGAATCAATCCTCTATATAAAAAATCACCCACTATCCCCCCAATCCCAAGTGGCGGAGCAGCGCGAAGGGGATGGTATCTGTTTGGAAGATGGGAGATCGGTCATTACTGCTAACCCCGCTAGAGTACCGGCCGACTGAATATCTCTCATGAGGGTTACGTTAGGCTTATCCGCAATACAGGGCGGCACTTGTGCGGACTTGACCCACCATTACCCCATGATAT